GCCTTAATTGATCTAAAGCACGAGAAATCTTAGAGGAAAGATTTAATAAATAGGAGGATAACCCAAAGTGTCCGTGCGTTCTGCATGGACTTTCTGACGCCAAAGAAACGTTTGAAGAAATATGAAAATATCCAGCCCAACGGTGTGCCATATAGTTAAATCATGCGAAGCTTGATAAAATTCGATCATAGCGTTCTTTTTCGTCATTCCAATCTTTCTAATTGTTTTAATTCACACCTACAAAAAGATTAGCTTTACTGATGTTCCTTAGCAAAAGAATACAGTTATTGAAATTTCAAAGTGTAGCTGAATACCCGATATTACCTTTGGCGATCTGTAAGTGTTAGAATACGCGCCAACATTCAAAGTTTACGGATTAGTTAATTGATTAATGCAAAACAACTCGAGGGCTATGTGCCTATGGCGACGGATGCTTTCATGGAGAAATTTTTAAAACTGATGCGTGTCTTCGTCCCTAATTGGGAAAAATTTGTTCACGGAAATGCGCAAAGTACCGTTTTGAAAATTTTTAAGAATGTGCAAAACATTTACTTGTCGAAAACTCTTACAAATTTTTTAAACAGTTAATGAAACAGTGTGGCATTTAATGTCATTGCAAATTGCTATCGGTAATTCAGATGCAAATGAAATTGCAACATTCATAACGCTTTCTAGTACTTATGGAAAATCTCGTAAACCATTTTTGCCTATTAAAGAAAAGACGCCAAACTACGCGATCTTTCGCCAAAAATGGAAAAGTCTTTTTAAACACGCTGGGTTTGGTGTAATCTTCATTACACGTGTTGATTATTCTTTTTGAGTAAAGACTCCTTCCCCCCCTCTATTCCGCATTTTCGCGAAAATGAAGATATCGGTGATTTCGCGAAATTTGGCAAGTGAAAAATTTCTGATTTTTTTATTATTATTTGAGGCGAAAAAAAAAAAAGTATTTCGCAAGACATATTTTCTCGCGAAAATTACAACCTAGCGAAAATAATTTCTTTTACAGTATATCACCTTAATAAAAAGTAATGGAAATTTTTAATGGAAAATTAAACATAAATAAATGATAATAAATTTGAAAGAAAAATAAGAATAGAACGTTTTTTTTCCCTTGTATTTTTGTAATTTTTTTTTAATTGGGGCCTTCTCTTGTGATCGACGGGATTTTCCGTAAGTAGCCTTTTCTTATTGAGTGCATCAATGAGTCGTCAATAAAACTAACATTTTCAAATTTTCCTGTTGAAACGTTTGACGAAAATTTTTTACGGATTACGATGGAATGAATTATTTATATAATGGCAAAGCATACCTTCCTAAGGGTTGAGATGCCAGTGTAGAAGACATTTTTCAGAAAAACAGTTTCGTATACCTCGTTACACCTACGGTGTAGTTTATTTGATTATGGCTAAACACTCGAAAGCTATTTGCCTAAGGGAAGGGATGGCTTCTTCTTGACTTTATGAGGAAAACTGTCTCGTATCCAGGTTAAACATGGTTAAAATTACAAAAATGCCAATGCAGTCGGTTCGCTTGCTCGGAATCGACCTCAGGTCGAACTACCAGTATTCAATGACTTTACCGCTCGACCTCTGCTGGGACCTGTTGCAAATTTGAAAACAACAAAAGTTGCCATGTAGCCCAATGTTCAGTGATCTTGCCGGTGGTGAGCATTTTTAATGGGATGGAATGCTTAGATACTTGAGCCCTACGAATCTTCGAGATTTGAAAAACTGAGTCTTCGTCATCCGAATCTGCTGAATCTTAGTCTAAAAATGGTTATTATTTTTTAAAGATTAGTTTCATTGCCGTCCAGCAAAGGCATCTGTTAAAAATAAAAAGAAGCGATGATTATACTTTCAGACCGTTGCTTCAGTATTATCATTTCCTGGCTATCTTGATTACCTCGCTTTTAATTTTCTGGAGTGAATTTAGTGTGTAATGTAAAGATTCTCCGTGTTATCGCTTGAAATACTGTCTCTTCTCTGCACTTGTTTAGATTTTAAAAGGTTTTGGGCAAACGTAGGATATTAAATAAACTTAAAATAAACATTAATTAAAATGTTAAATGATAAATTGTCACTCAAGCACTTTTTAAGTAACAGACAAAGAAAACGTCATTTACATTGAGAAGGTTAAGGATTCAAGATTCAGGAAATATATTTATTGCCTTCATTCACTGCATTTTACGTGTATCTTTATAATGAAGACAATTGCGCTAGAAAAACTTTATTCTTAATTTTGTTTTACAATAAAATCACATAGATTTCAAATTTAGCTTGAATTAAAAATGCTAATAATAATTATTGTGTATGAAGAAGGGAAAGATGCGAGAAATTCGAAAACATTTAAGGACTTGAATTCGAAAAAAATTTACTACAAATATTAAACAAGGAATTACCTTTAACAGTATAAAACGTCAGAAATTCTTATCCTTTTCATAGTTTAAAATGTCTGCAAGCTATCAAATAAGCAAAATGTTTTGCATTTGAAATAATTTACACAAAAGTTTATACAGACTGCAGTTCTTTGCGACAACTGTCATCATCATCAAAATTACATTTGGCAAAATTATGACATTTTTATCCTCCTTCCCCCAGGAATAGTGTATTGATTAAAATTACATCACATGCAAATGATTTCGCAGTTTTTAGTCCAAAAGAGTTGTTAGTCTGGAAACACGATTTTGCGTTTTTTCACTTTTTATTCGAGTCTGTAACTATTCGAAAAAACGTAAGATAAAATTTTTCATATTTAATGTATTATTAAATTGGCAAATTAAACTATTTCAAAGCAACGGATGGCAGTTCTTAATAATATCGTATTTTTTTGTTTTTGCATTTTAACCTGATTGATTTAAATAAAAGTGCATTTAATTTATGACACATCTAATTAAAAAAATTAAATATTTTTATAACATTACATATTTTTCACTTTTTAGATAGGCAGAAGATATATAACTTTCCCATTTTAGTCTAGATGCATATTAATGTAATATTCTACAAAATGTTTCGCTATTCCATTTGGACCATCTCTATCGGTAATATCTACTAATGAACCATATTAAACTTTAATAGAAACTTTTGGGCGTCAAAAAAACAGAACCTTTTCAGATTTTTTAACTGGTATTCCGTATAGCAATCTGTAATTTACCACAAAACAGGTTTCTAAAAATTATATTCATTAAAATTATAATACCTGCAAAAATCATCATAAAATTTCTTGCAATTGTAGCATTGAATATAACATGTGCAAAAATCTAAAAATATTTTTGCCGAAACTGTATTAAAATAATTGGCAAAAACAGCACTACTATTTTTTTTTTTTTTAAATCTTTTATTGGATTAAAATATTTATACCTTCAAAATGTCAGCGACTCTGATTATGTGCAGAAGTCACCATAAAATTATCATAATATCCTTTAAGCTAATTTTTCTTAAGGTATGTGAAAAAGTATATATAAAAATCCTTATTTAAACTACATTGATCAAAATATGTACAAAAGTCAACATAAAACTGAGACAATTCAATTAATGAAAAATACTTATGTAAAACTAACCACGACTTTTTTTTTTTTTTTGAAATGTCACTAATTAAAATAATTTTCTATGAAAAGAGTCGCCATTGTTTCGAAAATTACGTTATCTTAAACACTGACACTTTGTGCAAGAGTCATCAAAAAGGTCTTATCCAAACTTTCACCTATTAAAAAAGGACAGTAATGAACATCTCACTTTTTATGGAAACAGGAAGGGATCCTTTTAGAGAAAATACATTTATCTGTTTAACATACGTCAGTAAAAGCGATTAATTATTTAAAAACATTACGTAAATAAATTATTTTTCGCAAAAGCCACTTTACATGACATGCAGTTAAGTTATGGAAGAAAAAATAAATAATTGTTAATTCGCATCAAAAGCGATTGATTCAATATAAACTTTCACTTAATGCAATGCTTTTACCAAAAGCCAATTTCTTTCTGGAGTATAATAAAAATCTGAGTGAAAAGTTCTTTCATGTGACCAAAAAATGAAAGCCAAGAATATTGGGAAAAAAAAAAAAATATGTTAAAGGTATGAAGTTTTCAAAACCTTCGTAACTTCAAGTAACTATACAAATTATGCAGATAATAAATCTAACATATATATATGTAAACATGAAACTGATTTTGCAATATTAATAAATGTATAGCAACACATATATATTCATGACGTGAAACAGAATTTAATAATGTATCCAAAGTATTTATAACAAATATAGTCCATAATACAAATAATGGGTAAAAATCAATCTGAGTGAAAGAAATATGAATAATTATTATTGAGAATTAAGCTAGATGTAACTGCCTATAATGAAAAAATTAGTTGAAGTGTTCATAATATTAATACGAATTGATCAAAGTGTGTGTAATGTAAATACTGTCTCAAATTATTAATAAAAGTTACTTTCAATCAAACAGTTCCAAGAGTGTATATTTACAGTTACAACGTAAAATCATTTAAGATTTAGGGATAAAAATAAGAGTTCATGCACTTTTCAGGTTCAGCTAAGACACAGAGTTCGAAATAACATCTTAGGCGATTTCACAAATGATTCCATAAATTTAGACATTTCTAAAGCAGAAATTCGAAACAGAATGTGACTTTCTTGAAGCAGTTTTAGGACGATTCTTTAGAATTGGAGGGAAGGAGGGGAGGGAAAGAACCTCCGAAAACTTTACAGACGATTCTTCAGATTTAGCCATAAAACAAGATTTCTGAAAGCTCACATTCAGATGCATTCCGTTCAAATCCCATTCATTATATGAAAGAATTTGGTAATTTTTTTAGATTATTCTGTAAATTTAATCAAAATAAATAAAAGTTAAAAATATATAAAAAAAATAATTCATTCAAGTAGAAGAAAAGACAGCGGGGGCAGAGAATTCGAAATGCAATTTTCGGGCACTCTCAAGCGATTTTTCCGAACGAAAAGTAAACAAATAGGGAAACAAACTTACGTAACGGATTGCTACGAACGGCCGGCGCAAGACAGATGATCCACAAACCAATGACTCCAAACACACCAACAGTTCTGTATGGCAGACGATAAGATAAACCCATCTTCTTCGGCCACTTTTCGAGTTCCGACTATTTTTATTGTCCACACACGCAATTAGAATTCCTTGGGCGATATTCGCCAGGTAGATAGAATTTTACGAAAATCTCCCTAACGTTCGATGATACTCATTCCACGCACCGGCCTCAGAGGGTCACCAAAGAAACGCGACATTCCTTAGTGGTATCCTAAAGCAGACGAGAATAACTACATGATCCGCACGCTAGATAGACAGATAGCACTTTTCTATAAACGAGCGAGCGGCAGGCACGTGAGCAAGCAAACACACTAAGCGATCTCTCGTTGTTCCGAGCGGCGAAACTAGTGAGAGAAAGAGAAACCCTGAACTTGCTCACGTGACTCCACAACCGAACACCACTTGTTCTTTTTTTTCGCTTTCTCTTTCTTGTTCGGCGTTCTTTTCCTCTTTTTGAAGGTCAACAGCCGAAAGTGCTTCTTCCTTCTTCTCCTCGGCCGGTTGGTTTTTCTTGCGCCGGGGGTGACGCGCTCGCTCGATCGTCTGCCGCCGCGGTCCGGTGTGGGCCGTTGGCGAGCGCACTCGCTCGCAACGCCCCCCTACGGTGTAGTCAAATATTAGGCAAGTGGCGGTAAGGCAGGTGTGGGCTCAAGAGTTTTATTTTCGTTGAATAGAAGAATATAAGAATCAGTATAGCGTCCGTTTTTTCTATTGTTCTAAATATTGTTTTTTAAATTTGAGCCATTTAAGAAATCCATTTTGTAAATTATTAAGCAAAATTTAAAAATTTTGAACACTTCGAAACATTTTTTTGTAAATGCAAACTTCTTGTCGTACCAAAATAGAAACTGTTGTTACTTCACTTGCTGTAAATGTTTGTTACAAACGATTCGTTGGGGAAATTGCCTAGCTGTGTCTTTTGATTTTTGAATATTTAATATATCTGACTGATATAAACTTGAAATAAATTTTATTCTGTAATCATTCTGACCTACCATATTTATAATTTTTATAAGCATACGCAGCAATATTGTAATTAGCAAAATTTGTTATTTCAGTATGTTATGTTCCAGTTCCGTTTGATTATTTGGTATTTTTACGTGCGTAAGGGTTCGTAATGGATTGAATGGACACAGTACCAATGAGAGCTTGATGAAATTTAATTTTCGAAAAGGAACGGTTTACAATTCAGGTACTTTTGATAAAAGTACTCGCGTAGCTTTTTTCAGTGTGACAGAGCACAATCAGTAGTTACCACTTCAAACTGCTAAGAACATTAAACACTAAACAGTATAAAAAGCTTCAAATGCTTAAACTCTCACAATGATTTCTCAATACTCTCAGTCTGAGCTAAAGCTGAAACTGTTGCTCTCGGCGGTATTCTACAGCGTGTCTAAAAAATGTAACGACAAAACTTTAGGGAAGGTGGGACACAGCATTAAGGCATATATAATCACATAGCGGCGAATAAAGTTACTGCTACAAAAGGGTCGAAAAGGTTACAGTTACACAGTGGAGTGGCGCGCATAACTGGCTTCCGAGGCAAAATACGTTTTTGGAGTTCTTCCCCGAAAACAACACGGTGATATGATGAAAATCTTGTTTGGAGACCATTTGACGCCCCCCTCTGCGAGTGGCTCCCGGGTCAACATACACCCCCACCCTCCTCGCTACGCCACTGCAGTTACATAGGTATAGGACTGAAGTATCTCCAAATGGTCGCAGGATGTGGCGACTTTTGGCGATTTCTGGTCAATATGACGAGAAAATTAATCGCGAAAACCATTGTCAGCTTGGCGCCATCTACCTCAGTGTTAAATGGACTTGCTTCTGTAACCTTATTTTTCCGGCAAAGCTGTGCGTTCTTGGGGCCTTTCATGTTACATTATACAAGAGATACTACAATCTACATATGATTTCACTAAACTTCATTACATATATGTAATGATTCGGTAGTGTAGATGACTTATTGTTTTCCAAATTCCTCACATACACTGACAAAGACGTGTAAATAAAAATGATGCACTTCCAGACAGACGCAGTTGAAGTAATTTTATTATTGAATAAAACAACGCAATTTATTCAATTCAAAGTAATTTGATTGTTAAAAAAACGCTTTTGGACTCAGGTTAGTAGCTTCATACAGAATTATGGGCGCAGTAGACACCCCACAATTATAGAACTTAGCCCATCTTCAAAAAATGACGATACAGTGACCCAAATCGGCGCATGCAAGCTAGAGCACGCACTAAAGAAAGGCGAAGGACAGTTGCGTAGTTGGATTGCAACGGTATTTATGAAAAAAATGCTTCGTTAATCTGATCAGCTAAGATTTATACGCAGTGCAGAAGGTTAAAATGACTTAATGCGGAATTAGTTACAGATAGATGCAGTTTCGAAAAAATTAATAGGAGTGCACAAATTAAATTACATATTAAAGAAATTAAGGGGTTATTGCTAATTTTTGTATACTTTAGAGTTAATTTTTTTATCTTACATATGTCAAAAATTTGTAACTGTGTGGTATTCTGTTACGCTAGAGAACAGTGCATTTTTATTTACGTTGAGTCAAAGTGTTCTTGCTTCGTTCAACCTTCAAATACTAAAATAATACTTCAGGTAAAATTAACCATTATTCAGAGAGCGCTTTTTTGTAATTCGATACTTTTCACGAAAATTAAATATTTAACTGGTTTTTTAACATTCATTTTTTACTATGTTCTTTCAAGTGATGCCTATATTTTATCCTATCATTCCGTGCTCAAAAATTGCGATATTTCATCCTTTGGTACCTGCCTTGCTCTATATCAGTTACTTCAAGGGTAACCAACTTACTGTATTTTTCAAAAACTTTCGTTTTACTTGACTAATATTTTTTATCGTTCTGGTTTTCGTGCCGACTTCTTAATTCTCCTACATATTTCGTTACGAATGGAAATCGTTGCTATTTAAAATGATTATTTCTCTCCAAATGATCATAAGCTGTTATCGATATCCTAAGTTTAGTATGTATTTTAATTACTAATGTCGAATGATATGTACGGTTATTAAAATGCTTATGATAACTGACTTTAATAACTCTCCGTTTGCTAATACCCTTTTATCCTTACTTCGTATATATATATATTATATATATATATACTTAAATCCATTTAGTGCGAATACAAGTTATTATTACTTGCGCAATTGCTGCAAAGTTAGTTAATAATAATTTATTTCCTAAACCGTATTGATTAATTGATTATATTATCTCCTAAGTTTAATTAAAGTAGAATTATTTTAAAAGTGTGCATCCATACTGGTAAGTTATATTTTGAAAGATGTTTTGAAGTAATTTGAAAGCAAAATGTTAATAATGTTTTAACGGGGACTGGAGTTAAATCATCACGAAGAATAAATATTACAATTGTAAAAGTAAAAATTAAAACATGTAATTATTGTCATTGATCGGAAATTAGTTGACTTTTCAAGGGGAACAAACCAACTCCCGTTCAATGATCAATAATTGATAGAAATACGTAAATATGAAAGTGTTTCGTCTTTACTCGAGTTATAAAATTAAAGCCAAACCGGCAATTCTAGTCAGGCCAAATATTTCCGCGAATAGTTGTTACTCAAAGAACTGATTCTCATGAAGCATTTTAGTCAATTCAATTTGGAGTAAAAATCAATTACTGTAGAGAAATCTTGTAAAACTCGAGTAATCGTCCCCGACACTATCATCTTTATGTATTTGAGTACTATATTATTTGTAGAAATTAAACATTGGAAATTGTCATTATGAAATCGAAATCAAAGTAAAGTTGAAATAAACATAGAAGATTATAAAAAAGATAAATAATGCAAACTTTGCAAAAACAAATCAAAGAGAACATAAAAATAATATAAAAATAATATAAAAATAAAATAGAAAATAATATAAATAAGATCAGTGAATGTACATGAAGATATAAAGGCCAGAAAGGTATTAAGTAACTTACATTCTTTCTAGTGGGGGAGTTGGCAGTGTGTTCTCTTCGTGTCTGACTCAGAAGTGTAGGGTGTCCGAAAATTCTTAGCGGCAGTAGGGGCTTTGAATTATATCAGTCGGTAAGACTTGGGTGAAGAAATTTATGGTAGTGGGTGGGACTTGGAATTCTTGAGGGATGTATTTTGTGGAGTTCTTATCTGAGAGAGACCGTCTGTTAAGATTTTTTTAAAAATACTAGTGAATGGAAATTAATTAATTTCTGGCTAATTGTCGTGTCGCAATGATTAAGAATTTAAGAAAGGAAAAAGGCATTTTCGCTATCCAAGAGCTAGTAGACAGTCTAAAGGCAGGAAATAGGCCCATTTTTTTAGTAACAGTATAGTAACAGTATATGTCTGAAGACAATTAGCTTTTTACAATATATACAATTGAGTAATTACACTATATACAAATCTTTCAACTGACAGTCATCCAACTTATACCGCCTTCTCAGGTTTAGGAATAAATTATCATATCCCTATCAGTTAAATGATTTAGAGTGAGTATTTAACGCCTGCTCTTTTAAGGCAATGGTTGATAAATTGAAAGGGAATTAGATTATTTTTGAGAATTTTGATAAGGATCAAAATTTCGCGTTGTAAATCTATTGTATCTGTGCATATAGTTTTAATTCGTTGTATTTGATTAATTATAGTATTGTTAATTACTTTTTTGGATATGTTGGAGTTCCAATTTATTAATTTGTTAGTATTGAAATTGAAGTTTCTTGTTTTGTCAAAAAGTAAAATTTTTTTGTAGTTAATGATTTGAAGATCTAGAAAGTCTATGCTATTTTGTGAATTATTAGTTTTATTAAGTTTAAGACAATTCGGATAAATGTCGGAGTTTTCAATTTTACCAAAAACCAAAATATTAATTGTAATAAGGTCATCAATAAATCTGTAGGTGTGTTTGTAGTAATTTAACTCTTGTGGTTGTAGATTTTTTTGGAAGTTAAATTCTTTGACAAATAAAAAGATATTACAGATCGAGGTGCTGGAATGTAAGCCCATTGGCAATCCTCTGACTTGTTTAAAAAGTTGATTTTGAAACTTGATGTAGTTATGAAAAAGTGTGCATTTTAGGTAGGTTTTCCATTTGTCAAGAGTCATGATATTGAGTATATTAGGGAAAAGTTTTGGTAGATCAAGTAGACTGGTATAGATTTCTTCTAGAGGAAGTGAGGTATATAAGTTTTCAAAATCATAGCAGTTAATGTTTTGGATGTTAATGGTATGAATGGTATTAATGACAGGAGTGTTATTATGAATGATCCAGCAATAGTTATGATTAGTGTTACAATCATTGAAAATAAATTTACAGATTTTATTAAGTTGAATTGAAAAATAATAGTCTATATTTTTCTTGTAATTATTAGTTCCATTAGCTATAAATCTAAATTTTAATGGTGTTTTATGGAATTTGGGGGGAATCGCATAAAGATTAGTAAATCTGTTGTAGTTTGCATTGAAAGTAATATTGAGTTTCTTATGAAAAGTTTTAATCCTGTTT